CAGGAGTCTAAAGTATTTTAAAAAGCTGCATGGAGAGTCAAACATCCAAGAGAAAGATTATACCGTCTACTTGTCACACAGGATGTATGCACGACTGGATTACATAGTGATTGAACATAGACTACTGGAGTCTTTGGTGAAAGTGAAAATAGAATTAATATCTATATCAAATCATGCTCATGTCACAATGAAGCTGAGCTGATGGCTGGGAAGAGAGTAGAATAAAATTAATATATGGCAATTAAATTGCATGCTTTTACAAGACCATAAAACAGAAAAAAGGTTAAAAGAGGAAATAGAAAAATATTTTAGGTTTATTGAGAATGAGGGCGTTTGTGGCTACAGTATGGGAAGCACATAAGGCCTACATTAGGGGAATCTTGATTTTGATTGGGGGAAAAAAAAAAAAAAAAAAAAAAAAAAAAAAGAACAGAGTAAGAAAATTAGAATAACGGAAGAACAATTGCGTAAAAAGGAAATAGAGAGACTGTTACACAGCAGGAGAGGATTATAAAAAGAGAAGAGTTATAGGATTTCATGGAACAAGAAACTAGAAAGATTTTTAATAGAGTTTTGAAAGAAAGATATCAGAGGGGGAACAGACCAGTAAAATCTAATGAGAAAGTTAAGGGATAAGAAAGTGAGGTAGATGTGTATTGTTGCATCTCAAAATAACCCTGTTTTCCAGATTTGTGTCATCACTTCACCTATAGCTACATACTCTGCACACAGTGGACTTACATGCACCTGGGCTCTGTCCTGGGACCAATTCTGCTTAACTTGTTCATAAATTATATAGACGGCTGGAACAAAATTCAATCTCAGTGCTTGCTGATGATATAAAGCTAAGCAGGGCAACAACTTCACAACAGGCTATGGCAAATTTACTAGAATACCTAATTAAAATAGAGGGGCAAGCAGCTAATTGGCAGATGAGGTTTAATATTGAAACTTAAAAATCTAAAGTAATGCACTTGGTAGCTAACATGCAAGTTACTCGAAAGGAGGAAAACCGATGAACCAAAATCTCTGTAGATCACAGACTCAGCAATATCATGCAATGCCAAGCAAGGCTAGGAGACTACTGGAATGCATTAAAAAGGGTATTTACGCAACAGATAAATGTATCTACCACTTCATAAAACCCTGGTTCAGCCACATCCTGAGAATGCGGTCCAGTTTGGGTCACCAATCCATAGGAAAGATGCCTTTAAACTGGAGGAAGTCCAGAGACTGGCAAAAGAAGTTAGTAATGGAGCTAGAGGACCCCAGTTATTAGGAACGACTACAAAAAATAAATTTATTCTCCCTGGAGTATATATGCTCAACAGGTGTTTTGATCACATTATACAAATCTTTAAAAGGCGACTACCGTATTTTCCGGCGTATAAGACGACTTTTTAACCCATGAAAATCTTCTGAAAAGTCGGGGGTCTTATACGCCGGTATACGGCGAGCCGGTGTCAGGGCGGCACTTTTTCGGGGGGTGGTGCGGTGCTGCCCCCCCCCTCCAACGGAAGGGGGGACTAAGTACAGGGGCGGGCAGGGGGCTGCTGTTTCTTACCTGGCTCCGGTCCCAGTCCCACGACGATCCAGTCCAGGAAGCGCGGCTGCTCCTTCATTCAGTTCGGCCGCTCGATGCACGCTCGGCTCCGCCTCCTCACCGGTGATTGGGCACCAGAACTGTAGCTCAGGAAAGGCACACAGGTGGCCAATCACCGGCGAGGAGGCGAAGCCGAGCGGCCCCGCGAAAATCGAGTGAGGGAGCGGCCGGTAAGTGTGCAGCAGCACCATGCTGGAACACTATTGGCACTATTCCTCCCCCCCACTGCCACCAACGATGAGGCACTATTCCACCCCCCACTGACACCAATGATGGGGTACCATCATTGGTGTCAGTGGGAGGAATAGTGTCCCATCATTGGTATCAGTGGGAGGAATAGTGTCCCATCATTGGTGTCAGTGGGAGGAATAGTGTCCCATCATTGGTGTCAGTGGGAGGAATAGTGCCCCATCATTGGTGTCAGTGGGAGGAATAGTGCCCCATCATTGGTGTCAGTGGGAGGAATAGCACCCCATCATTGGAATACCATACTGAAATACCATACCATATTGAAATCAAATCTGATGTTTTTTAATTTTTATTTGGTGTGCATTGGAAGAGGGGTAGTCTTATACGGTGAGTATAGCCCAAACCCTATATTTCAACAGGAAAAGTAGGGGGTCATCTTATACGCCCAGTCGTCTTATACACCGGAAAATACGGTATATCATTTGAAGAAAACTAAAGTCCCTAAAGAAGCCACTCAGCCACAAATTGAGGTTTGATGAGAAGTGGTTAAAACAAAGTTTTTTTACTGTTAAAACGGTAAGGTTGCAGAACTTCCTTCCACAGTTGGTGGTGTAAGTATACAATGTACGGAGATATTGAAAATGGTAAAGATATAAAAGTACGCAAACACACACACAGGCTGAACTGGATGCATCAATGTTATTAAAAATTACCAACTATGAAAATATATTGATATCTGCCCTCTGATAGCTCCCTCAGTATTACTCCACACATGGTTGCCTTTATTTCATGTTTTACTCGTGCTTAAAACAGACCACAGTGTAGAACACCTGATGTCCCATGAAGTTCACTCTGCTTAATGCTGTAGAAAACTCCATGGTTGTCAGACAGGCCAATCACATAACTGACAGGTCATGTGACTGGGTTTGCCTCCTGCCAGCATTTTTTGTCCCTTGTTTTCTTGATTCGTTCCAATTGTGCTCTGCTTTCATTTATTGTCCCATGTTGCAAAATACACATTTGTAATATACATTTGTAAAGCAGAAAGAAGTGCTTTGAAAGGAACAGCGTGGTCTTAAAGAGGTTGCAAGTCCAATAAACAACACTTCCTTGCACCAATAGATAAAGTATTAGAAACCAATCTAATTGTGTGCACATTTTAAAAATACAGTGGGGCAAAAAAGTATTTGGTCAGCCACCAATTGTGCAAGTTCTCCCGCTTAAAAAGATGAGAGAGGCCTGTAATTGGCATCATAGGTAGACCTCAACTATGAGAGACAAAATGAGAAAAAAAATCCAGACAATCACATTGGCTGATTTGGAAAGAATTTATTTGCAAATTGTGGTGGAAAATAAGTATTTGGTCAATATCAAAAGTTCATCTCAATACTTTGGTATATATCCTTTGTTGGCAATGACAGAGGTCAAACGTTTCCTGTAAGTCTTCACAAGGTTGGCACACACTGTTGCTGGTATGTTGGCCCATTCCTCCATGTAGATCTCCTCTAGAGCAGTGATGTTTTCGGCCTGTCACTGGGCAACATGGACTTTCAACTCCCTCCAAAGGTTTTTCTATGGGGTTGAGATCTGGAGACTGGCTAGGCCACTCCAGGACCTTGAAATGCTTCTTACGAAGCCATTCCTTCGTTGCCCGGACAGTAAGTTTGGGATCATTGTCATGTTGGAAGACCCAGCCACGTTTCATCTTCAATGCCCTTGCTGATGGAAGGAGATTTGCACTCAAAATCTCACGATACATGGCCCCATTCATTCTGTCCTGTACATGGATCAGTCGTCCTGGTCCCTTTGCGGAGAAACAGCCCCAAAGCATGATGTTGCCACCCCCATGCTTCACAGTAGGTATGGTGTTCTTTGGTAGAAACACAACTCGTCGTGTTTAAAGGAGAGAGAATGCTGAGTTGCATCCAAACAGCTCTATTTTGGTTTCATCTGACCATATGACATTCTCCCAATCCTCTTCTGGATCATCCAAATGCTCTCTAGCAAACTTCAGACGGGCCCGGACATGTACTGGCTTAAGCAGGGGGACACGTCTGGCACTGCAGGATCTGAGTCCCTGGTGGCGTAGTGTGTTACTGATGGTAGCCTTTGTTACGTTGGTCCCAGCTCTCTTCAGGTCATTCACTAGGTCCCCCATGTGGTCCTGGGATTTTTGCTCACCGTTCTTGTGATCATTTTGACCCCACGGGGTGAGATCTTGCGTGGAGCCCCAGTTCGAGGGAGATTATCAGTGGTCTTGTATGTCTTCCATTTTCTAATTATTGCTCCCACAGCTGATTTGTTCACACCAAGCTGCTTGCCTATTGCAGATTCAGTCTTCCCAGCCTGGTGCAGGTCTACAATTTGGTTTCTGGTGTCCTTTGACAACTCTTTGGTCTTCACCATAGTGGAGTTTGGAGTGTGACTGTTTGAGGTTGTGGACAGGTGTCTTTTATACTGATAACAAGTTCAAACAGGTGCCATTGATACAGGTAATGAGTGCAGGACAGAGGAGCCTCTTAAAGAAGAAGGTACAGGTCTGTGAGAGACAGAAATCTTGCTTGTTTGTAGGTGACCAAATACTTATTTTCCACCATAATTTGCAAATAAATTCTTTCCAAATCAGCCAATGTGATTGTCTGGATTTTTTTTCTCATTTTGTCTCTCATAGTTGAGGTCTACCTATGATGCCAATTACAGGCCTCTCTCATCTTTTTAAGTGGGAGAACTTGCACAATTGGTGGCTGACTAAATACTTTTTTGCCCCACTGTAAGTCCTCAGTTTGTTTTACCCCTTGTAAAACCACCAGTCTTTGGGTGGGTCAAAAAACCAATGCAATGATCCCCAACCCAGCTATACATGCCCTTCAAAAATAGATATGCACTTCCTCAGGAGCTACACAGAGCAGCAGGGACACACACCCTTTCACACATCAGTCCTGGGAGGTTCATATACGCATCACCTCTGCTCAGCCTGTCACTCAAAAGAGAAGTGGACAACCATCCGCATATATTTCCTTGTATTGGATTTAGTCTATTCAGAAGAACAAAGTGGAATGCAGTTGACAGGGGATGCTTCAACATGGCAAACTAAACTCAAATGATTAGTACTGGGGAACTTTAATCAATTAATTGATAAGACTGTTTTTCAGATTTACAACCACTTTAAAAGCCAGTTTTCCTGCAATCGCACCACCATGGCACTCACTGATTCTGTAGTTCACTTGGCAGTCCAGACTAAATTTCACAACATCTGAGGAAATGGATTTCTCTGAACCCAACCTGACCAAGTTAATGTCACCGCAGTTTCCTGGAACATAAGAAAAAAAAGTGCACTTTTAGTTTAGATAGTTTCAACCTATTGTTAGTTCTTCATAAAGTTATAATGAGTAATGGTGAGCAATGAAAGTTCTACTTTGATAAAGGTTTTCAACGTGGCTTTACTAAATAGTTTTTTTTTTTTTGAAAAAAAGAGAAAAATTTCAGACATCCTGTTGATGAGTTTGGAAATATACTTTTATTTGACTGTTACATATCCTTTTGGAAGCCTGTATAGTCAGATGTCCAGAAAAATAGGATGTTTGTACTTACTGTAAAATTGTTCTTTTATAATTAATTGAAGGACACAAGAAGTGAAAATGAGGTGAAATACTACTATCAGGTTATATGGCCTCCTATAGTAGGATTTAAAAAACTGGGAAAAAAAAAAAAAAAAAAAAAAAAACAAAAAAAAAAAAAAAAAAAAAAAACACCCAGCATCTCCAGTCTATAGCAAGCAATATCAACATGATCATAAACACAGAGGGGTGGGACCACCTGTTCTAGGAGACCAGAATTCAGCCCTGGAGATAATTCTCCAATGAAAGGAGCCCCCTGGAGATGGGTGGAAATGTTCATAATAGCATCCAGTGAACTGGCCAGAAACTACCTGGTTCTCAGAGACAGCTGTACAGGAACTAGACTACAACAACAGGAAAAGAGCTGGGTGGTTTGAGAGGAGGTGGGAGAAAAAAGTACCTCTAAGAGAAAAGCCCCCAAATAGCAGAGACTCCTACAAGGGAGGAATGAAGTAATGAGCAGCTCATGATCCAAAGCACACAACGTCATCTGTAAACCATGGTGGAGGCAGTGTGATGGCATGGGCATGCATGGCTTCCAGTGGCACTGGGTCATTTTGTGTTTAATGATGTGATAGAAGACAGAAGCAGCCGGATGAATTCTGCAGTATTTAGAGATATACAGTCAGCTCAGATTCAGCCAAATGCAGCAAAGTTGATTGGACGGCGCTTCACAGTACAGATGGACAATGATCCAAAACACAGTGCAAAAGCAACCCAGGAGCTTTTGAAAGAAAAGAAGTGGAATATTCTGCAATGACCGAGTCAATCGCCTGATCTTAACCCAACTGAGCATGCATTTTACTTGCTGAAGGCAAAAGTAAAGGCAGAAAGACCCACAAAGAACAACGGAAGACAGCTGCAGTTAGAGCCTGGCAAAGCATCAGAAAGGAGGAAACCCAGTCTTTGGTAATGTCCATGGGTTCCAGATTTCAGGCAGTCATTGCCAGTAAATGATTCTCAATAGAATATTAAAAATTAACATTTTATTTATGATTCTATTAGTTTGTCCAATTACATTTGAGCCCCTGAAAATGGAGGGACTGTATAAAAATGGTTGCAGTTCTTAAATATTTTATTTGATATTTATGTTCAACCACTTGAGTTAAAGCTGAAAGTCTGCACTTCTGCACAGTAATTTGGATTGTTTTGTTTTAATTTATTCTGGTGGCATAAAGAGCCAAAAGTATGAAAATTGTGCCTGTGTCTAAATACATATGGACCTAAGTGTATAAAAATGGGAGTGCCAGGAAAAGACAATAGGCCAGACATGGGTGTCAACGCATTAAGAACTATCAAATGTGCTGAAGTGACACTGAGGGTTTATGTTCCTGTTAGGGTGCCTTAGTCAAAGCCAGATGACCTAGCAGATCTGGGAATCCCACTGGGGAAGGAGAGGGATAACAGTGAGGGGTACCAGATGCCACTGACTACTTTACAGGCCCCCAAGGGAAATTAATCACTTAGAAAGAGGGTGTTCTAAAAAATGGGACACAGCTGCAGGAGGGAAAGTTCATACTGGAGCTAGAGCAAGGGGTTCAACAAAAAAAAAAAAAAAAAAAAAAAAAAAAAAAAAAAAAAAAAAAAAGGTACTTTGTGCACCTAAATGCCTTAAATATAAAACTAGTCTACACAGGGGTTAGCAACTGTCCACGCTTGGAAAAGTGGAGACAGCTCCTTCAGGTTGATGGACTCTGAGGGCTTAGGAGGTTTCTCATTACTTCTTGGTGGGTTGTCTTGAGACTCAGGCTACACAGGCCCAGTTGTACTGACTCCAGAAGCAAAAAAATTAGTCAGCAGTGGGACTGAAGATACCGTGCCCCTAAAGTGTTACTAAACCCACAACAGTAAAATCAGTCTCTGTGCATGCAGTAAACAATGCTTGTTATACTCACTGTGAAACCTAAGGGTTAATCCTACGCACTGTGTAAAAAGGCTGATTAAGCCTGTCTTCTCTGATCCTCACCTTCTTTTACTGTCCCCAATCCACCTGCCACAGTACAGAGCAGCAGTGGCATGCCTGCACCTGCTCTGTTTGGTGTATATTGCTAGAGAGGTTTATTTTATTTTTGGGGGTGGGGGGGGGGGGTGGGAGAGGGGATGTGATCAACACAGGGCCAAACAGACCAGATGTCGAGACAGATGGTCAGGCGTCATGCAGCCCCATAAGACAGTCAAAGGAGAATGAAAACTCCTCCTACAAGATTAACCAGTGCTCAGCTGGACACTGATACAAGCCAAAAGACTGCTATATACTGCTGATGTAAAAAGGTATTTAGCAGTTTACAGTTACTAACAGAGTGCCTTGAAAAAGTATTCATACCCCTTGAAATTGTCCACATTTTGTCATTTTACAACCAAAAACATAAAAGTACTGTATTTTTCGCTCCATAAGACGCACTTATTCCCCCTCAAAAAGGGGGAAAATGTCAGTCCGTCTTATGGAGCTAATATAAAGTGGCCGGTCCGGTATTTCCGCCGCCACCATGTCAGAATACCCAGCCGGCCGCTCAGCTGTTCTCTGCGGCAGGAACTCACCTGTTCCTCGGTCCAGCGCTGTAGTCTTCCCGCGCCGGCTTCTTCCCGCCCCGGCATCTGTGACAACCGGGTGCCCACTGCGCATGTGCGAGAAGCACATGACAGGTCCCAAAAGACGCCAGGCCATTCACAAAGAGCAGCGCTTCTCACGCATGCACAGTGGACACCCGGCTGTCAAAGTCGGGTGCCCACAATATAGGAAGGAGAACTCCGCGGACGTGGAAGCGGGTACCTGTCAAATTCAGGTACCCGCTCCCCCTCCCTCCCTAAAGGTCTGCAGTCTCTGGTCATCCCCTGTACCGTGTCTGCAGTCTCTGGTCATCCCCTGTACCGTGTCCGCAGTCTCTGGTCATCCCCTGTACCGTGTCCGCAGTCTCTGGTCATCCCCTGTACCGTGTCCGCAGTCTCTGGTCATCCCCTGTACCGTGTCCGCAGTCTCTGGTCATCCCCTGTACCGTGTCCGCAGTCTCTGGTCATCTCCTGTACTATGTCTGCAGTCCATTGGTTCAGAATATTTTTTTTTCGTTTTTCTCCTCTAAAACCTAGACGCGTCTTATGGTCAGGTGCGTCTTATGGAGCGAAAAATACGGTATTTTATTGGAATTTTATGTGATAGACCAAAACAAAGTTGCACATATCCATGAAGTAGAAGGAAACTGAAAAAAGTGGCGTCCACCCTCTGATGAAGTGCCGTAGCACGAAAGGCCTCAGGAAGAGCCAGTAGCAAGTGTGACTTCCTGACCACTGAGACCACGAGGAGGTCCGTTGGTCTCCGATTCTTACCTCTGCCGGGTATTTAGTACATGTTTTTACTTATCTTTCACACTTACCAGTCCGCTTGATGGCCGATGGTATTTGTATGCACATGTGACCCTGGCTTAACTACTGTTGATCCAATAAAGTTTTGAACCTACTACACTATTGGCGTTCCCTTTTTTCTTTGACCCTCTTGCTGGAGGGTTTCAGATCTACATCTACCATTTCTGGGGTACCTGGAACCAGGAGGGGAACCCCTGTCTACCTATCATTTGGGGCAAGAGGGCTCTCTGGACCTGGAGGTATATTACTGCACCCAAGGCTGATGTCAGTGTTTAAGAGGGATGATCTACAGTTGCAAGAAAAAGTATGTGAACCCCTTGGGATTACGTGTAGTTTTGCATGAATTGGGCATAAAATGTGCTCTGAATGTCATCTAAGTCACAACAATAGAAGAACACAGTCTGCTGAACATAATACTACAAAAACATTAGATGTTGCCATGGTTTAATTGCACATAACATGTAAACATTCACAGTGCAGGGAGGAAAAAGTATGTGAGACCCTAGCTTAATGACTTCTCCCAGAGCTAATTGGAGCCAGGAGTGAGCCAACCGTGACTCCAATCAGTGTGATGATATTGGATGTGTTGCTGACAGCTGTCCTGCCCTTAAAAAGCACACACCTGTCGTGGGTTTACTGGTTTCAAGAAGCACTGTCTGATGTGAACCATGCCTCGCAGAAAAGAGCTCTAGCCAGAAGACCTTCGATCAAGAATTGTTGACTTGCATGAAGCTGGAAAGGGTTACAAAAGTATCTCCAAAAGCCTTGATGTTCATGTGTCCACGGTAAGACAGACTGTCTACAAATAGAGAAAGTTTAGCACTGTTGCTTCTCTCCCTAGGCGTAGTCATCCTGTAAAAATGACTGCAAGAGCACAGCGCAGAATGCTGCATGAGGTAAAGAAGAATCCCAGAGTGTCAGCTAAAGACCTACAGAAATCTCTGGCAAATGCTAACATTTTTGTTGACACATCTACAATAAGGAAAACATTAAACAAGAATGGAGTACATGGGAGGACACCACGGAGGAAGCCATTGCTGTCCAAAAAGAATATTGCAGCACGTTTGAAGTTTTCAAAAGAGCACCTGGATGTTCCACAGCACTACTGGCAAAATATACTGTGGACAGATGGAACCAAGATTGAGTTGTTTAGGAAGAACACACAACACTATATGTGGAGAAAAAAAGGCACAGCACACCAACATCAAAACCTCATCCCCACTGTAAAACATGGCAGAGGGAGCATCATGGTTTGGGGCTGCTTTGCTGCCTCAGGGCCTGGACAGATTGTTGTCATTGATGGGAAAATGAATTCCAGAGTTTATCAAGACATTAT